TCCGTCAACACACACGCCGCTGCAGGATCAGTTTCAGGAGGACTCCAAGACCAATCATGATCTCCTCTCTCTTCCAGATTATCGCCAGCTGCAAGGAGGAGATGAAGCGGAGCAGCATCTCTGAGCAGAAGATGATCGGCATCATGTGGACCAGCGTCATGAGCTTGATGGAGTGGAACAAGAAAGAGGAGCTGGTCGCGGAACAGACCATCAAACACTTGAAGGTTAGAAGAGTGAACACTACTCGAACATCTCTCGAATATTTAAGTCTCACCCCAAGACGTCAGATAAGTCTTATGTAGGGCCCTTTGAAATTAGTCATTTATTAATTTTTTTTTCCCCCTGTTCATTTTTGGATTTCTGTTTTTATGGTTGCGTTTCAGTGATCAACAAGCTTGTTTAATAAACTTTACAAGTTTCATGATTTCAATTAAAGTTCAACAAATCACTGAGTTTTTCCTCAATTTAGTTTCATTTTCAACAAATTCTGTGTTCGGTTTAAGTCTTCTAGATTCCATTTTAATGGTTTCCATTTAAAAAAGCATGTCTAATTGAATTCATAAAACATTTAGAGCCTGACCGAAAAAGGATTTTGAAGGCCAATACCGATACAAATATTTTTTGGTTTTAAAATCCGATATATCGGGCGACTTTTTTTTCCGAAACGCGCAACAAAACATTAACAGATTTCCCTAACATTAGTTATTTAAAAGTTTTAACTAAATTAATATGATATTAAAAGAAAAAGTTTCTTTTTAAAATGCGTTGTCACAACAGAACAGACTGATGATAGTGGAATTATATCAAGAAAGCCTTAAAACATAAAAACAAAAGGCATCGAAATATAATCGAGGATTAAAACGCAATAAAGTCCAGGACCTATTTCCATTGTGGTCCTCTCAGACGTCAAACTGCAAATTGTAAAACACACACATTTTCAATATAACAGGCCAAGGAGAGATGATGCGTCTCATTGCTATAACTATCACGCGCTATTAAAGAAATACTTCAGTCACATTGTCAAAAGTTAAAAGGACAGTCAGTCGACTACACTAACAACGTAACGTAACGATTACTAGCTAATTCCGCTTCACTCTCGGCTTATTTAACTGCAGCAAAACTGGACATGATAGTGAAATGTTGTCATGCTTATTTGAGTTAAGAGAACTGATGGGGTCTTTTAATTGTTATTCAAGCGATGTATGTATCGTGACCAACTCAACGAGTGTTTCCAACAGGGACGGTGTAGAGTGCCCTCTGGTGGACAAACTATACAACTCCAACACTCATGACATGGTTCAAGCGTGTTTCGTCCATTTTTATTTTTGAAATATTCATTTATCGGCCATTATAACTGCCGATACCGATAGTTTGGAAAATTCCGATATATCGGTCTGGCTCTAAAGACATTAAAATGAATTAATTTATTAATGAACCTGTACCCATTGATCATGTGTTCCTCAGCAACACAGCCCTCTCCTGAAGGCCTTCACCACTCAGGGCCTTTCTGAGCTCACGCTTCTGCTGCGGGTCCAGGAGTACTGCTACGACAACATCCACTTCATGAACGCCTTCCAGAAGATCGTTCTGCTGCTCTATAAAGGTAAGCTCTGACCCCTGACCCCTGACCCGTGCTCCTGGAGAGCTGTGGTCCGCCGTTCTGACCTCTGCTGCTTCTCCTGCAGTGAATGTTGTGAGTGAGGAGGCGATTCTGAAGTGGTACACCGAAGCCCATCTCGCCAAAGGGAAAGGCTTCTTCCTGGAGCAGATGAAGAAGTTCGTGGAGTGGCTGAAGAGTGCAGAGGAGGGTGAGCGGCCGTCCCGGTCAAACCTGATGGTTCTTCTAGTAGAGGAAATGTGTATTTGATGCGAGTGTCTCCTGTGTTTCAGAATCTGAGTCTGAGGAGGAAACGGACTGAGACGGAGGCCACGTCACTTCCTTCAGATAATCTACTGCCAGAGTTGTGTCTTTTCTTATATTTTGAAGCTGAAGGGTCCTGATCATTTAAGGGCTTGACTTGCAGAACAGTTTTTAAAGTCTTGATTTGTTCTGTACTACTCGGTTTTTATGAGATCTTTAAGATGTTAGTTGGATATGTACTTGCATTGACATTTTTTTTTTTTATCTTCATTTTGACTTGATTCTAGAAAAATAAAGAATTGAGTCCAAGTCCTGCTTCAGTAGTTCTTTAAATTTTCCAACTCTTTTAGGAAGACAAAATGGCACCACCTTTGGTCACTGGACTGGTCATTTCACAGGAAATGAAGTTTAATTCAGTCACTTGCAATCCAGTTTGAACAATCTCAGTATGTTTACATGACAATGTCTTAATTGAGTAGTTTAATTAGCTTTTTCTGTACATATGCCATTATCAAAACAACCATTCACACAGATATGTGAAAACTAAAATGGCTGTGTTCTGCCAGGCCAGTAGTTTTTGTCACTTTCTAAAGAAACACTGTATTTATAGACTGAACGTGCATACGTTTTCACATTTTTGTGGTTTACACTGAAACTACAACAGTATATTGTCTTAAACTTGCGCTTCAAAACAAGGGTTTGAGTCGCTGGATCGAGTTTTGATGGATGCCAGATCTTCTAAATGTATGACCGGGGCCTGTACCATGATGGTCGTTGAGCAAACTCAGGGTTACAGGATTAGTTTCGAGTTGACCAAACCAATCCAACCAGGATTTGTTGGTACCATGATGCTGATCATCAACTCAGGCTTTGATCTTGAGTTTAGGTGAGATCTCAGTAGCAAACAGCCAATCACATGCTGAGAGAGTGAAACTCATTCAAAACTCGCTGATATTAATTTCTTGCGAGAGAAGTAGCGCAATTCACTTATTAAATAAAAGTATTAAAATATTAAGAATTTTTTTTTAAATGCGCAAGAAAATAGCCGTCTATGAAAGAGGACAACTACAACAAAGTCTCGCCACTGAATGTCAGTGCAAGTAAAAGTTGTGAAGTTAGTTTATACCGTTGATAAAGTAGAGAGAATTGAACATTTAAGCTCACATGTAGTCATTTTATAGCTTCATTTATTGATTCTAAAGTGTATTTATATTACCTTTTTACATACGTATTCATTTACAGTTTTTCTCAATTGTTTACACACATTTCCTGCAAGTATGCCTCATACTCTCAGAACTCTACACACAAATCTAAAAACACTCACACAATCGGCAAAACCCCTCAATTCTAGTGCAAAATGAAACTTTACGTTCAAAACAATGTTATATATTCTCAAAATGTTATTTTGTTTTCAAATGACACACACAAACCATTATATGAATAGACATTTATAAGAACCAGTTGAACACTGATGTGCTCAATGGAAAACACTTCTTCTCCATTCATCATAATGATTTGGGCCTTTTTGGTTAACCGTTTAAAATTGCATAACCGAGTGAAACGTTTTTGCTCGTTTAAGTGGCGTCAATACATATTTGCACAAAACTTTTGCGTTTTTTTTTCTGAATGTCAATAAAAAAATATTGTGAAACGACAGCGTTTCCATTAACGATGTTATGCGACTAAAACATCTTTTTTTTTTTCTTTCGCAATAAGCCATTCCAAAAATAATGTAGTCTATCACAGCCACCGCACTAAACATTATTATTATTTATGGAAGGAGACGTGGCGTGTCATCCAAGCATTAATGGCAGGGAAAGAGACAGAGTTCTCCGTCATTTCTGCTCTGAGGTTTTTCTTGATTGTGGCATTTTTTTGAGGTTTTGTCTAGTAGGATATTCCTTGTATCCTGAATTTTAAAAAAGATCTCTGCCTCGTATATGTCCAAACGGTCTACTTTTGTGTTCATTCGTTTCCCCTTATTTAATCCGTTGGCCTAATTGCAAAATGAAAAATGAACGGTTGTTGTATTTTGTAAAACGCAAACTTGAACACCAAAATGTTCATTTGAACTGTAGGCCTACGCCAAATGCTGCGCGAAAATATATAGGCTACATATCGACGAATTTTCAGATATTTGTTGGATTTTTTTGCCCCTTAAACATTTAAAATATTTGACAAATTAATATGAAAAAATATATATTTTACTGGTTTTCTGAGGCCAATTAGAACCTGGAAATGATATTTTCCCTGCAGTGCTGAATGAGAAGAGCCGTAACCACAGCCTACAGAAAGGGGATTTATAGATGATTTATAAGATATAATAAATGTGTCTGATAATAAAATAATATAAAATAACGAGGCATTAATTGTTTATTAATAAACTATTGTTTTCTAAATCATTTTCGGCTAAAAAATCTCCATCTCCGGATGCACATTTAGAGAGAAATACATAATTAGCTAGGCTACATAATTACATAGTCAGAAGATATTGGCTTTCGATTCGAATTTGTTCGTTTTAAATTGGACATTAATGCTTTAGTCAACAAAGGATATAACCCCGGTAGACTAAAGCTTTAAATGTCCGATTTAAAACGAGCAAATTCGAATGCGGCTGTTTCAGTTCTCGCGCTTCAGTTCACGGAAATCATGAAGCGCGACTGATTGTTAAAGAACAACATTTTCTTGTTATTGTGAGTTTACGCAAATAAATGTATTTGCGAATAATGTATTATTATTTTCTGTATGACCAGAAATGAAAGAGTATTTTAAGTTGTTTCCACTGAAAGAACTGCAAGTGTTCACATGGGCGTCTCGCAGCCTCCACACACTGGATATGCGTCAAAATATTGTGTTTATTTGTGCTTTGTTCAGTTTTTGGATAAAAGCGTCTTCTACATATGCAGCCTATAAAATGTTACAATAATGATGATTATTATTATTATTTGCGGACACGGAGTTTTTGCGAAATGGACGTGTTGCCAATGTGCGTATTTTCAATTGGCAATTTCAGTTTGAAGGGTGATGGAAACGCGCCTACTTTAACTTACCACTGCGTTTTATTTCTATACATTAATTTCGTTTCAAATGGGGTCCAACCAGTTATTAAAGGTGTTAAAAATTAACTCTGTATCTCGAGGTTGCGGCGCACACACTATGGTTAACCGAGTATTAACCGATAAGGGCCTCGGTTAACTGTTAATGAAAAACAAGTTAATCTACACTTGTAAGAAAGTAGCAGTTGCTGTAGAAAGTAAGAAAGTAGCACCTCTGCTTTGATTGAATCTGATCCTGTTTGCATGAAACAAGCTGATCCCGAGCAGGTTTGAGTTCAATGACAATTCTGGGATGAGCTTTGAAGAACCTAACAATCCTGGATCATGTCAAATCGTCCACCGTGAAATCCTGATAACGGAGTAATCCACGTACGGAGAATAGGCCTGTTCTCAAAAGATTGTGTTTTCAAGCCCCCAAAATGCTGTGTAAATGATTGACCAAAGCACATTATTATTCCGTTTATGGTGGAAAACGGTGACATGTAAACGGGGTGTTTAAGCTCCACGATGTGAAAGAGATGTGGGTCCTGGGGTGTTGAAGTTAGTTATGTGTCCCAGTCTACAGCTCTTCAAGCCTGTCTTGTTCTGATCCAGTGAGGTTTTTCTCTTCACGAGCTGCTGAGATGCCACCGTCTTTTTTTAAAATACGTTTCCAGAAATTATCCCGTAGACAATAAAATGATAAAGAAATTTAATGTCAATTTGATGAGCTAGAAAAGAGTCAAATTTAATTCTGTACCAAATTTGCTAAAAAAAAAAAAAATGCTATGAATGTGTGTTTAATTTCTAGTAAACCAAAACTTAGATTAACTATAATTGATGAAAAAACACCTATTCAGTTTCAGTGAAGACTTTTTTTTTACTCCAAATTTGTTTTAAAAAAAGTGCTATAATGTAGAAACAGGGAGATGTGCTGTTGTGCTCATGTATTAATGTAAGCGGAGCAAGTCGTCAGTAAGACTGGCATCCAATCAAACTCTCTAAACACGCTCACCTGAATCATCTTCCGTCGGTGCATTCAGAAGAGTACATTTAACTTCTTTCTTATTTTCTTGCTCCTCCGTTTTCTCTCCATCCCCGCCGTCTGTTCCCTGCTTAGATCCCTGTGCTGGAAAAAGGAATAACTTATCGACTCAACTCTGTGATGATAACCTTAAAATCTATTAGTACGTGTTGAACTTTCAAACTAAATCCAATAACCACAATAAATACGCCGCTCTGGACCAGAAATAACAGCACAGTAAAACAGTCCTAAGTTAACTGTCCTTATAATAAAAGACAATCATAATAAAAATAAGTTGCGTGTGACTGTTTTACGAGGGTTTTTGTTCAGTTTATAGTTTTGTGCCGTCTGAACTTGTAACTTTTTTTAATGAACTGACACCAATTGCTATGGTTAAATTTTGAGCATAGAAAAACATTATGAATATAATCATACATCAGAGATAAACAAAATTGCCCATAAATGAGCTGTCAACCTGATATGCACCCAGTGACGGTCAACACTTAGCTCTCGTGCCCCTGATGATCTACTTCTGTTTATCCGACCTCCTTGCACATATACTATACAATGCTCTAAACACCACAAACACATCAAATCTGCTGTATACATGGGAAATTGAAAGCCATATCTTTATGGTTATTATGAGCATAGATATCTTACCATGTCTTTTGTGTCGTTTGAAACAAATGACGGCAACAACGATGATCACCAGAATAACAACAGCAATGATGATGGACAATGGAACAACTAGAATGATATTCTGATGTAATAGTGATCCATCTAAACACAATAACATCACAATAGTTATAAGCCATCTTGATCGTGAAGTCTGTAAAGAGCATGACTGTAGTAAGCCTGAAGCAGACCTGTGTCGCAGTCTTTCAGAGAGAAGTTGCTGCTCCGCTCGCTCACTTCATTCTTCACAGTACACGTGTAGACGGAGTCCGGCGTCTCCTCTCCGCTGAGGCGAAGCTCCTGCCCCGACTGTGGTGCTGAACCGGACCCGGTCCATGTGTAAGAGACACGAGACTGAGACACTGAACACAACAGAGCTCTGGAAGTGTCGTTCAGATGACAGATCACGACCGGCTCCGGCACAGCATCTGAGGAAACAGGAATGGTGGATTCACCAAGTCAGGGTAAATACTCTTATAACAGTATATATAATACTCTTATTAATACTCTCATCTCACGGATTTTGTTTCCGCCACGGAAAAAAGACATTTAAAGAAGAAGTTCACTTTAAAAAACCTTTTGCTGATAATTTACTCACCCCCATGTCATCCAAGATGTCCATGTCTTTCTTTCTTCAGTCGAAAAGAAATTAAGGTTTTTGATGAAAACATTCCAGGATTTTCTCCATATAATGGACTTCAATGGGAACCGAACGATTCAATTTGGACTTCAATGTCCAAAAGAGAGTTCGAACAGAAGAGTCACGAACGCGCATCACAGAACAGAGGAAGGCGAGCATTTGAGCTTATAAAACTTAAACTTTGTTATTTATTTATTAAATGAGCGATCGTTTCGCTTGATAAGACCCTTATTCATCATCTGGTGTCATTTAAAGCCCTTTGAACAGTTTGCACTGAAACTGTCTTACCGTTTGGTTCCCATTGAAGTCCATTATATGGAGAAAAATCCTGGAATGTTTTCATCAAAAACCTTAATTTCTTTTCGACTGAAGAAAGAAAGACATGGACATCTTGGATGACATGGGGGTGAGTAAATTATCAGCACAAGTTTTTTAGTTTTTTTTTAAGTGAACTACTCCTAACATAAAGTCACTCTTGCATGTTAAAAAGTCAGAATTGTGAAAAACTCGCAATTCTGAGACTTAATTAACATATATCTGACTGTATAACACATTCTGACTTTATATCCCACAATTATGTCTTTATATCTCACAATTATGACTTCATATTCAGCAATTATATCACGCAATTCAGAATTGTTCAGAAAAGTCAGAATTGCCAGGTGTAAACTCATAATTGCGAAGAAAAACATATTCTTACAGACTGAAACATATTCTTACAGATTGATTTTCCTGGTTTAATATATGAGGATATTTTACATGATGATAACTTGAAATTCACAAAATTGCATTCTGAATGATTAAAAATCCATAAAAAAGATGCATAATTATTTTGTAGCTTAATTTAAAGTCCCCGTGAAATCAAAATTGAACCTATTTACTTTGTTAGCGCATATTACTAGTCTTGTGGTGAACAATTAATCCGTGCAAGTAAAAATATATTTAAAAAATGTTTTACCTTCGTAATCTTTAATCAAAATCTGAAAAGTTACTTCCGGTCTGGAACGGTTTCTTTTTCTGATGACGTAGGTTTCACAATTTGGGTGGGGAAACGCTTAACCACTCCCCTCAAACCGTTAGTTTGCTATGAGCGAGAGATGGAGAGGAGGAGCGCTAGAGTAAAACCCTGCCCTCTGTTCAATATTCCGTTTCACTTGGAAATACGTCACAGCACTGGAGAAAAATATTTTGCAACTTCCGGTTCACGGGGACTTTAAATTAAATTATAGCGATTTTCCATCCGTGTCACAAATTTCCAGGATTGTTTTCTATAAAATAAAAATAAATGACATGAAACAATTACATCCTGGAAAGTCCTAAATAGATGACAGATTGAATCAGCTATTTCATTCATCAACAGAATGCATTGTCTCTCTTGAAAACACACTATAGTGTGTACAGTAGTACAGTGTTGTGTTTAGTGTGCATCATAAGCTGAACCAACCAGATTTTCTCGGTCCTCCAGTTCCCAGCTGTCTTAGCACAGGTATTCAACACATTACATCAGTGAAACCAGCAATACTCCCATGTTATTTCATTATCACTTACCAATAACTTTAACTTCATTGTCAGAGTTTTGCAGCTTCCCGTTGATCGTTATTATAGACCTGTAAGTCCCACTGTCACGACTGGTCATCTGATTGACCGTGAGCTGTCCAGTAAGGACTTCGATCTCTGATCTTCCCTTGAACTGACCATATTCTAGAAACTCAATCAGATCATTTTCAGCCACCTTGTTTCCATTGTGTGTCCACAAAATTTCCTCAGGCTTTCCTTGAATATTGGGTTTTAAAGTCAGACTCGTCCCATTCTCGACATAGACGACAGACGTTACAGCATCTGATTAATATTTAGACAAAGGTAAAGATAAAGATCATGGTGCGAGGTAAAACTTACGAAAATATAAGCATCTAAAAGCTGCGTTTTACATTGGAAATCCCGGCCTATTAGCTTTAGGTCCTAAACAATGTTCACGCTTGAAGAGCTTATGTAACCAACAATTAACAACTTTCAATAATATTTACAGCGTATGAAGCAAATAACCATGACAAGTAATAAAGAACATCACTTACTGAATAATCTTGATAGTATTAAACAGATGTAAAGACCCGATACTTCCCAAAGCGATCTCATTGTTTTTACTTTCGATCAGCTGAGGTAACCGGTCCGGCCAGGCAGCGCTCGCGCACCGCGCGCGATTAGCAGTGTGTCTTTAATGTGTTCGAGACTGAAGCTGTAATTAAAATAAGAATGATGTATATGTAAGATCCCTGTGGCAATTTAACCGGTTACTGGATTGTTGTTAAGCTGCCATACAGGAATACCCTCAAAGCACTCACCTTTTCAATGATGTGTTTGTAGCCTATTATAAGCTCCACCCTTACCTAGCCTATACACCTGAACTTCCTGTTTCATTAAATGAAGATATCAAAATGGTGAAAAAGTGGAATATTGTTCTTATGTGAACTGGTCTGGGAGACATTGAAAGGTATCTGCCGCATTGAACATGGGCTGTTGTAAATTATGGAGGAAAATTGAAAAGTGAGAAGCTTCACTTGAAACAAAGTGATCACATGAGTTTGAGATCACATAAATTCTGTTGTCAACGTCTCCACGAAACGTGATCTTTTAATTACTATCAACATTATGGCCAACTTTACACAAAATCGTACCTTATTTGTAATCTCCGGTTATTTTTAGGCATTTTTTTTTTTTTTTTTTTTACATTTTAGTAACTTTCTGTTGTGGTCACACTTTAGATTAGGGTCCAATTATTAGCAAACAATTAAGTACAAATTTTGCCTCAATACAGTTCTAATTATTGCTTATTAATAGTTAGTAAGGTAGTTGTTAGGTATTGAGTGGATTATAGGGTCATGCAGAATTAATATGCCAGCATAAACAGCCTAATATGCATGTTAATAAGCAGCTTACTAGTGAGAATTGGACCCTAAACTAAAGTGTCACCAGATGAAGGCCTACTCAACTCATCCATTATGTTCTTCAAAGCAAAAGTTTGATTTTGTAGATAATCTTGATCTTGTCCCTGTTTCCTTTTCTCTTTCATCCTGACAGACAGGTGTTGGTCATCTACTGTGTGTGTATGCATTCATCACTGTCCTCACTCCTAGTACTCAAACAACTAGTACTCTTCTACACAAACTACGGCAAGAAACATGCTTCCCAAAATAAAACCAGGCAATGATGTACCATTAGGAAGATTAAAAAAACAAAACAAAAAAACAGACATAAACGATATGAATAAAACAGCAAAATACATTCACATTTTTCTTTGTATGAATTTATGTTTTAATAATGATATACTGATATCAACAGCTATTGAGTACAGACACACACAGTGCCATGTACAGTACTGGGCAGATTACTTATAATCTGTTACTGATTCCAAATTACATGACAATTCTAGTCGGTCAACTAAAGATTCGATTTTGAACTAACTCTTTTATCACATAGATTTGAGTAGGATAATAGTAGTAGGATAAACTGAATCTTCCAGTAAAAAATGTCTTAAATCAGACACTCTGGTGATGTATGTTGGATCTTTCCAAACATTTAGTCTGTTTAAACCTGCTCTCTTTTCTAACAATCGAAAAGTCAGTAAACAGCTAATAGATAAAACCAATTTAATTTCTAATTTCATCATTCGCTTCATTCAAATGTGCATCACAATGGAAGAAAAGACATTATTTTGTTACATTATATTAGCAACATTCATACACAGGAAAACAGCAAGAACATTACACAGCCAAAGTTGGATTGCAAATTTATTTACATGGTGTGCAAATTCAAAGGCAAGTTTCCATAGTGATACTGATAAAAAAGTCTAGGCCCTATCAGTCACAATCTCAAATATATTTGCATTATAGGATAATTTCTCTAATTATAAACAGGCAATTATGACATTACAAAGGCCATCCATTTGTTGTAGCAGATCAGACAAGTTATATTTCTAAACCAAAATCTCAGTTAAAAATGTACAAACAAATATTTTGATGCAGAGTTAAAAGAAATAAATACAAAAAAAAAAATCACAAACCTAAAACTATTATTTTATTATAATCCACATATACATGCCAATTGTGTCCACTTAAATGTGTTTAGACAAAAACCTTTCAAAGTCATAGTCTATTGTAATAAACCGTCAGGGTAGCACCATATTTAACTTTTGACAGTTGGATGTTTAACAAATGTTTACAAAACATCTTTACAAAATACTTTGTTGACAAAAACCATATAATTTTTATATAATTATAATTTTTTGTTGAAAGTTGTGAGTTTTGACAAATACATGTGCTCAATACATTCATAGAGTGCATGGCATTGTAAAGACTTTAAAGGCCATTGCACACGGAGTACGAAATTTTGAATGCGTTTTTTCGTGTTCGTCAGCCTAAAAATTTGTCACGCACAGAAACCTTGCACACCGAGTCCGATGAGTATTTATTAAATCTTTGCGGAAAAAAATGCAAAAATACAAAATGGATTCGTCAAGCAGTGAGGGTGATTTTGTTGTCCTCTCTCTTATTGAAAAGAGAAGAGAAAATCCTGAAATTGCGCCGAGAGGAAGCACCTTATCAATGAGTGAATTTGTGAATTTATCCCGAGCGATTCAAAATTTACCTCAGAATGTCAGGGGAACAGTTTGATGCTTTGCTTGTGATCCTGGAGCCACAATTTAAAAACAAGACCACCAATTTCCGTGAACCAATTGATCCTGAACAGAGACTGGCAGTGTGTCTAAGCCAAGGTATGGACAGGACACACACACGCTCGACCCGGTGGAAGCGCTGGGCAGCTGTATGCAGTTATATATTGTGCCCAAATAATACATTATCGAATTGGCTGCTCAATCACACCTTATTCGATCCGAAATTTCAATCTGATTCAAAAGGGGAGGTTTATTCCTTTCATAATCCAATCGAGAGAAGAGAACATACTTGGTCGAATTGAAAACCGAAACTGAAAGCACTGCGCATATGTGCAATGATGTGCGGAACGAGCTCCATAGACAGTAAACAAGCTCCCCCCGGCCCTGAATTGTCAAAAAACCTCTCAAAATGCTGGCTGTGGATGCGAAAAACGCAGAAAATCGAACCCGGTCCGAATTTTTTTATGACGGACGAAAGTTTCGGAGGCGGTGTGCAAGTGTGATTGACATAACGTGAGGTCGATTTTTTTTTTTAACGTGTGAAAATTTCGGATGCGAATTTCGGACTCAGTGTGCCTTAAGTCTTTTTCTGACCGCCTTGATTTTATCCTTTTATTTATAAGCTATAGAAACAGTCAGTCCCCTGAGAAGTGTTATTAGGACTGCACATGCACATTGGCTTTTCCAGCCTGAAATATTCATGCATTACATTCATAATATTCATAACATTCAAATGCCTCATTCATTAATGGGACAGTTAATTTAAAATTTGATTGCTGATTTGAAATGTGTTATTTAAAAATGAGTCTGGAATAAGGCCGAGGTGGAGCCAGGGTATAGAAGGACTGAGGCAGAGTGGTGGGAGTGAGGATTGAGGCGGAGCCGGTGGGACTGAGGACTAAGGTGGAGCCGGTGGAAGAAAAGACTAAAGCTGAGCCGGTGGGAGTGAGGACTGAGACTCAGTCCCGCTGCTAGATCCATTTTATAATAAATAATAAATATAATAGGGTTAGAGTGGAGAATGAAGATGAGGGGAGGTGAAGTGGATCTAAAATGCAACATACTTTAACAACAACAAATGCTACAAAACAAAAGAGTAATCCAAAATGACTAATCCTAAACAGGAAGGTAAGCAAACAATGTGTACAATCACAGACAACATCAGACAAAGATTGACAATTTTGAAGGCATTAAATAGACTGACAATGAGTTGCCATGACGTAACGGCAACAAAATAAACAGGAAACAATGATCTACAAATTAAAAGTCAAGGAAAAAGAAACAGCAAACAGTAACAGTACTTTGTGCTTTGTCAGAGGGCTGTAAGATTAATACTGTAATTGTGGTAGAAAGGTCACGTGACTGAAGTCACCTTTGACACAGCGTTAAGGGGGTGGTTTTCAGCCCACAGATCGGCTTTCTTTTTCTTCTGATCAAAATTCCTCTTGTGCTTCCTCTTCAGCAACAATATTATAACCAACAAAAGTAAACAAATCAGAGGAATAGTTATTCCCAGTGTTGTTACTAACCAGTCTATCGATTTTTCAGGAACACCTAAAAAAAATTAAAATCAAATGTTAGATAAAGTTTTGCTGTTTTGTATACATTTGATTTATGGTTGAATGGTTGAATGTGCTGTGTGTTTTTCCTTCTTCTTTTCTTTTGAATACAACAAGAGAAGCCCATTCCTTCAGACAAACGCAACACCACCAAGTCACCCGATATTTCTACTTTTTTACATATTTGGGTTTGCCATGGGTTCAAGGTTTGATTGGTTAGCATTGTACATATTATAAATGGCCAAATAGTCTCTTTTTACAATGATTGCCATTTAAAAGTTGCCTTTTATCCAGTTTCAGTTATGCTTTTCCCCCCTTACAAGCAAATTACAATTACAAATATAACGGCTGTTTTACTTGTGCAGTATGCCCCTTAAAAGCGCAATATGGACGTATTTATTCTAACTATAATCTTCCCCCAAAATCTGAGGGAAATTTAATGTTGATGTAAGTAACTGATGTACAAGCCTGATCCAAACATTACCCCTAACCCTAAAATCATATTGGTTGATTGGGATGTTGTTCCAAGAACATGTCCAACTTGTTGAAAACATGGTCACCGTGTAGTTAAACGGATGTAAGCAGGCTAATTTACTGACTCAATCCTAATTGAAATTATAAAAATGGTTTAAATTGTTTAGTATAAAAGACATGTGAGTTTGTAGATAGTTACCTTCAGTGTGGACATGGACAAAGAGCTCTTCAGATGTATCTGAAACCAGTTTCCTCCAGTTGTCAGCGATGGGAAGCCACTCCTCCACCTGACAGTAGTATTGCCCCGCATCAGTGGGCTGGATCTGCAGCACCGTCAGTTTGTAGTGTGTGGCAAGTGGTCGTCCAAACACCAGTTGTTTATCACCGATTGCACTGTGTAAAGTACCATCACGCCTGGCAGTGAATATAGCGAGTGGTCCTTCCTCCTGAACCTTGAACCAGGTGACCTCAAAGGTAGACTTATCACTGGACTGAGAGTCAATGTCACAGTCAATGGTGAACCCAGCCTGATGGTTGGTGATGTTGAGCATTCGGTTCAACTTCTTAACATGCAGTTTACTCTCTGTTTAAATGAAACACAACATCAAAGTTTAAAAAAACTAAATTATTTTTGTGTCTGAATTTCTTAATTTATTCAAAAATCCATAAATGTA